CCAGCCCCAATACTGACCCTTAAGGGACACCAGTCATCACTGGTTTCCACCCGGACATTGAGCTGTTGACCACAACTCTTTCAGTGCAACCATCCAGCCAGTTCCTTATTCACCGAGTGGTCCATCCATGAAACCCACATGTTTCCAATTTGGAGACAAGGATGTCATATGGAACAGTGTCAAACGCCTTGCACAAGTCCAAGTAGATGACATCAGTTGCTTTAGCCTTATCCACCAATGTTGTAATCCTGTCATAAAAGGCCACCAGATTGGTCAGGCATGATTTGCCCTGGGTGAAGCCATGCTGATTGTCACCAATCACCTTCTCATTCTCCATGTACCTTAGCGTAGTTTCTAGGAGGATCTGCTCCATGATCTTGCCTGGCACTGAGGTGAGACTGACCGGCCTGCAGATCCCCGGGTCTTCCTTGTTACCCTTTTTAAAAATGGGGGTTATGTTCCCCTTTTTCCAGTCTGCAGGAACTTCACCAGACTGCCAGGACTTCTCAAATATGATGGATAGAGTATGTGCATGTGAGTTTGGTCCTCATGTGTATTTCCCTGCTACCCTTGCTGCAGACCATCTATCTTCCATCTCTTGTCATGCTAGGAAGAAAGTTCAAACTCCGTGGTTACCAGGTCTAACCCTCACTTTCTAAAGCCTCCCAGGCACAAGCAGCTCTGCAGCACACACACACTCCACAGAGGCTTTAACACTAAAATGCTGTGAGACTGGCATTGAGACTACTCAAGAAGTGTGGGTTATTGAGTGACAAGAATGACTGAAATGGTTCCTGGTTTGCAGAGACCGGTGAGGAGACACCAGAATCCCAGATCAAAGATAAGGAAACACTTTAGTCACAGAGTGGAAATACAGCTAAGTGATAAAACCTTCTTTCTTGAACACTAGCAGAGACATGTGAAGGAAGACCTTACAAACTTCAGGTTAATACATCTCCTTCCCACAGCAATGGCCAGTGGTTTCTTTGGTTGTCACACAGAGTTCATAGCTGAGACTACCAACTGGGCTACCACCACTCCTCTAAGAAGGGAAGAGAGCGATCTTGCTCTCTAAGAAACATTATAGTCTGTTCACTTATTAAATGATTGCTCAAAGCAACAAAAATCATTATCTCATCTCCTGGACAAATTAAATGTGAATATTCACTGGAATCACTTCCGGTTCCATTGTGACCCTGGAAATATTCTGAACTACTTTTTTGAAGGCTTAAAGGCAAAAAATGCAAGAAAAGTTGCTTTGATGGACCATCATCTGCTCTGGATATGGACTGCATACCCACTACTTAGAAATGCTGTCTGCACTGGACACAGTCCATTTTGGAATATTCTTTGAAGAATTTAATGGAAGTATGTGGAAGGTTGTGATACAGTTTCCCACTGCCAGATTTCTACAGCAATATACCTCACAATGCTCACATCTATTTCTGTTTGAAACTGTCTCAAAACTTTAAAAAATTCAGGCTGAAACTCCTAGCTCCCCTCCCCATTAAATGAAAGAGAATGGTACATTACCAGCTGGATGTTTGAAAAAAACCCAACCCAACCCAACCCAAACCAAACAAAAAAACCAAACAAAATCCAGACTATACCACACAAGAGAAGGTGTTAAGCATTCACCAAAACAGAAGCAAAATCTGAATTATGCAAGTGAAGAGAAGCATTTGGATACATTTTCCTATAAAATGTATGCTAGCATCTGGGCTAACTGCAGAAACCATCAGCTGAGCTTCCACAGCAGAAAGCTGTCACACATCTGGTGATCTAGCTACCTATACCAGGCAGCAGCTCATTGCCTCCTGCAAGAATTTCAGTTAGCCAAGCATAGCGAAATATCTGGCACAGGAGGCAAAAGTTAATGGCACACATTGCAACTGCATCAGATGAGACTCATGCTTGTTCTTCTTGGATCCTTAAATTGGATCAGACACAACAAAATCAATATGGCTTAGTCAATGAGAAGGAGTTTAGACAAAATCAAAAAGCATTCTACATCTGTAGGTACATAATATGGGAAATATTTGAGATGCTACAGGTCGTAGTGGCATAGCCCAATGTATTTAAAGGGTCATCACTACTTTGCACTTTCTACTGGCTTGAATCTCACCAGATGCAATCTCATTCCCTTGCAGCTGGAACAAAGCCATACCCTGCCCCACACTGATGAAGTACCTTGGTTTTACCCAACTGCCATTCTTTCTGGCTGCTGTCATAGGTCTGAAGAAAGCCCGCACATACAGCTCTGCTGTCGACTGAGAAACTTGGCCCCTTCACAAGCATCTTATACCTAAGAATCAAACAGAATCTCATGAGATTATGTATAAGAGTAACTCCCCCTGCCCCAGTCTTTTAACTCTAATTATCCTCCTCCCACTAGTCCTTCTTCCTCTGGGACCTCCCTTCTTTGTGTTTGCCTTCCAATTTGGAAATTTCCATCCCCCAACCTTTATCTGTTCCTACTACACTGGCAATTATTGTTGCAATCCCAGTAATAAAATACAAACTCAACAGAATTTTTCAGTAAAGAATAACTATCTTTCTGAAGCATGTGCTTTCATCAGACACAAGTTATTTTGTTCAGTAAGGGGTGGCATTTAATGCTCCAAGAGACAAAGGAAGCAATGTTCAATGGTCCCTTCTAGCCTTAAACTTCAAGGAATCCTTTTGATGCAGCTAATTAAAAGAAATAATCAC